TTAGGGTACAGGGTTTAGGGTTTGAAGTAGGGTGACATTCCCCGCAATGTGGGAAGTGGAGGTTTTTTAGGGGGAGTTCGCGTGTTGGGGTAGAAATTGCCTGCTGGTTGCTGTAGATGGCAATGATGGTTGCTGGAATTAATTAAGTTTCACATGGGTGTACCTGGTACGTGTGCCACGAAGTTCTGGAATCCTTGTTCTAGAGACCCTCAAGAAGCACGCCGAACCTTCAGCCTCAAGCAACCCCTGGAACCGTCCAAGCAGGTGTGCCCAGACTTGGCCTGCGCGTCCTCTGCTCGCAGCAAGCTGCTCAGAACTGCTTGGCCACTTTTGCCCTAAACCCTAAACCCTGAACCCCTAAACCCCTACACCCTAAACCCCTGAACCCCTAAACCCTAGACCCTAAACCACAAACGTTGAGGGGATTTTTGGGTTGAGGTGTTTAGGTGTATAGGGTTTACAGGATTTAGAGGCAAAGCATGTGGGAAATCTGGGTTGGCCTTTGAGATATTTCAACATTTTCCATTGTTGGCTTCATAAGGACCCTATATTTCTCAGAGGGCTCCAAAGACCAACCCAGCAATAGGGTTTAGGGGTTAATTTAGGTTTATTGTGTTTGTTGTGTTTGTGTAGAAGGTGCAAGCGGCCTCTGAGCGAGAAAGGTAACCTCGCCAAGGCCGAAGGCCGTTTCATCTAAAAGTTTTTGCGCTTGCTTCCTTATGGGCAGGCTTTTTCCAGCCTCGAAACTTGAACTGAAGCTTAAACATTGAATCCTAAACAGTAAGCTCCAAGCCCTACAGCAGCAACCCTACATTCTAACAATGCTGTCGTGTTCCGAGTCGCCCTCTGGGCCTGGCCTCTGGATCACAGTCAGAGCTTCAGACCTTGAAAAGGTTTGGTCTGGTAATCAATTGAGTAGTATTTAACTTGGGGATATTACGGTACCCAATATAGGGTTTAGGGCCCTATAATGGAGAATCAAATGGAAAAGAAAATGGAAAATGAAATGGAAACTGGGATTATATAGGGGTTATTTGCCCGCATAGCACAAGGCTCTTGGTTGTTGCATGCCATAAGAAGCACAGAGTAGCCCCCATAACGTTGCCAGTTGTCGAGGTTCAGTGATTATGCTTGGGGACTATGAGTGGTGTTATAATAAGATCCCCATATACCCCATATTCTATCCTAAACCCTAAACCCTACACCCTAAACCCCTAAACCCCATATACCCCACATTCTGATGCCGTGGTACTTCGAGTACGCGGCTTGAGAGTACGTGTTCTGGGCAGGACAACAAAGTCGGGATTCCCTTTCCCAGAAAGTCCATGTACCCAATAATTAGGTACTTGGGTTTTGGGTAATAGGAATTATGGTACAGGTTTTGGATATGTATATAATTATTAGGTACTTGGACCCTTAGGGTTTGTGTAGCCAGAAAGCACGGCATTTGATGATAGATGAAGCTTCCCTCTCCGAAATGGAGTTAACGGTAGCTCGCATGATCACAAGAAACGACTTGCAGCCAGGGCACCTCGCCGAAACATCCCTATGTACAAGGAACAGCCCTAGATGCTAAACGTACATAGAGGGTCAGCGGGGCTTAGTAAGTATTTTGCGAGTCACGAGAATAATTGGGGTTCTTACAAAGCGTGGGGGGATTACAAGTGTACTTGATGAAGCCGCAAATCCCAAAAAACATTTGAAGCTGGATGAACTTAGGTCTGGCGTGGGTGCCGTTCTCAGATCAGCCCGACTCGGGTTCAGGGGCCTAGAGTTTAGGGGACTATCCAGGTATCCAGCAAGTATAGGTGTATCTAATAAGGATTATGGGCACCGTGGGATACATGGGACTGTAGGGAAGCTAGAGAGGTCCCAAGGTGGTTTCTGAAGGCACTGGGCCATTTCTTCAGAAAGAATTGAGGCGCTATGTTTGGCAATCTATTGGGTGTGCTGAAAGGGATGCTATTGTGCACGGCTCCTTCTCCACAGAAGCCGCATTTATTGGAAGATCCAAAGACGTCCTGCGTAATTATGATGTTGATAGGGAAGACCGAGCATCAGGTCGGAAGAAAGGGTGCTGGAGATGTACCGCTGTAATCAGGGTTGGGGTTGAGGGATTTAACTTACCATCTCCAATGACGAAAGTGGATAAGGGTACTGTTGGCTCCTGAAGAGCTTTCTGCGAAGCAAGGCCATGTGTTCGTGTTGGCTTAGAGCGCAGGGCAGTCAGGCAAAGATCACAAGAGAAATCGATGAAATGTTGCAACACAGGGAGGCAAGAATACAATATTCAGCCTGTTGTAGGCGAACCGGGAGACTGATTGGTTGATCTTGCTCTGGTTGCCCGACAGACCAGCCTGTGCAAAGAATCTTGCGCCAAGATGCTGGCTGCTGCGTGTCCGACCAAAGACGAGAGGCAGCTTACTCATGCTCGGTAATACCAAGTAAGACGGTATAGACGGTTTGTAGGTGCAAACAATACGTCCATGTTGGACCTTCGTGCTTTTGTCAAGTGTCCCTTCATGTCCATGGCAAATATTTGTGTGGTTCCCATGATGTCGCATCGTGCCAATACTTGACAGTTCCCGAAGTCAACCATGTCGAAGGCTGTACCAAAGCTTCTCTCCACCCCTAGCATCTCCTATGCGTGGATAGCTTTGTAGCGGCTTACATGTGCACCTCCCCGCCTACAACCTCCGCCCAAGATTCGCAATGCTGGCTTGGCTGTTGTGATCTTTGAGTTGGCAGTCCCTTCTTTGGACTTCATTTGCACGACCGGTACATGCCCTGTCATTCTTCATGTGCGTGGGCCCCCTTAAGGACAGGAATGGGGCTTCCTGAAGAGATATAAGAGACAGAGCACACAGACGGAGCGCAATTAAGGCGCAAGCATCACAGCTGAAGTGCTTTACGATCTTGTTTCGGCTGATGGATGTTTGCTGGGGGTCCGCGAACGCTTTGTGTGGCCCAAAGGCTGAAACCAAATGGAAGACATCGCAGTTCACCGCTCCGCAGCAACGTTATGCTAATGGGCATTGGTAGCACTAGCAAGAATAGAAATAAGATACAAAGAGCAACAATAATACTGATAATACTACTGCTTTGTAGAAATTGTGGTGGAACTTAGTTAATAGTACAACGTCATCGTAGTCCTAATCAGGACTGCTTCTGGAGATCCCTTCCATGGTTTTGCAGGCCACTGTCGGCACGTGAAACTGGTGCTACACACAGCTGCACGCTCAGCGTTTAAGGGTTTCGGATTTAGGGGTCTACGGGTTTAGGGTTTCTTGCTGAGGTTTAGGAGGGAAGAAGGGATTGTACTGCAATCCCCATACAATCCCATCCCCTATGCTTTACCAACCCCACTGAGGTTCAGTTTTTAAGATGTAGGGTAAGCTCCGACTGCACGTTGGGTAGGAAAACTGTCAAGTTACAACCAAATTAAAACCTAAATCTTCCCTGTATAGTTACCGTTATACAGGCATCTATAGTGTCTTGTAACATGTGCTGAACCGCCGCCGTGGATTGTCCACAATAATGACACTAATGGTGATCCGGAAAGAGTAGTAGCTACTCGACAAGCAACAGTATTTCAATATTCGCTGTCCAAGAACGCGCGGGATCAGGCCTTCCGCTGACAAGAAGGAGCTGCAAGCAACGTCGCGGCTGTCACGAGTAAGGCCAAACATTGAATCAGAAGGACCAGAATTGCATATATCCTGGTACCCAAAACCCTATAGAAGTGAAATGCAAATAGCCTTCTGGATTCTTGTGAAACAGCAACTCTAAACATGGAGGTTCTCCCCATACTCACCCGATCCTTATCATCGGTACCCCAAATTGAGATCCAAACCCTAAACCCTTAACCCAAATTAGGACCCATAATTCTGGGAAGCCTCCGCCAAACTTAAAGTCCTTAGCAGGGGCCCCTAATATCAGCTGGATCCTAAGTAGGGGCCTTACTAAGGTTTGTAGGGTTTTATAGGGTATCAAGGGCTACAGCATATTAGGGGCCCGTACTAGGGGCCCATACTGTAGTTGAAACCTAAACCCTAAGCGCCCCAAACCCTAAACCTTAATCGCGCAGACGCCCTAAACCCTGGATCCTAAACCTAAATCCTAAGTCCTAAACCCTCAACCTTAGATCCTAGAACCCTAAACCTTCAACCCTAAACCCTAAGCTCAAAGGCACAAGGCCCGTAGCTCTTAGAGGTGGTCAACAGAAGTCCAAGCAATGGCAGCTGATTCCTTGGCATTGCCGAAGCCCGTCACAAAGACGGGCTCGACCTTCTTGAACTGCCCATTTTCCAAGTTGATTGCCGAGCGTTCTGCGGACCTTGCAGAGCTGAAAGTCGAACTTAACGCGGCGTCCAAAGACCACACACATATGCTGGACGACATCGCTCTCGTTCGTTACCTTTGTGGTTTTGGCAGCGTCAAAAACACCTGTTCAGCCATCCTGGCGGCGCAGCAGCTGAAAAAGACCAAGGCTGAGATTCTCAATGCAGCTGACGCTGGGCAGCCCTGCCCCGGCACGCAGAAGATTGAGCCTTACTCGAAGTTCCACATGTGGTCAGCAGATGAGAGGATGCTCTTCGTTGTCCCGGTTGCGCAGACCGACTTCAAGCAACTGCTGAAGTCAGCCAGCTCGGAGGACATTGTCAACTACAGCCTGCACACCGCACGGAGGTTGTGGTGTTGGGTGGACAGGATTTCGCGTGAGACAGGCCGCATCATGAAGTACGAGGTTGTCTGCGACTTCTCGGGCTTTTCCTTCCTCACCGTGCCCCCCCGCGCATACGTCAAGGCCATGTCACAGATGAGCGAGATGTCTGAGGTCTTGCACCCCCTGTCCATGGGATCAACGACTGTTACAGGCTTGCCGGGAGCTCACCTCGCCAGACGATTGAGCCGCATGTTCAGGCCATTCTTGCCCAAATCCATGGCTGAGACGCAGATTTGCTGCGGAGATCGGCGGAAGCAGTCGCCAGCATCATGCCCGTATTTGCAGAGACACTTCGCGGACGATATCCAGTCGCTGTCGAGTCTTCTCAGCGGAACATGCCCTGTGACTGGCCGTGCTGCTGACATCGAGCCAAATTGGACGGAGAAGGAGTTTGTGGACTTCGAGGCCAATGTGGCAGCCATTGACCCTGACAGGATCGATGCCAAGCCAACAATCTCACTGTGAGCAACGGTTTTGGACTAGGCTTTGCACTACCGGTACAGGTGATGTGGCGTGACACAATGTCAGCTACGGTGCTGTTTGTATGTGCCAGGCGAAATAATTGCCCAACCCACTTTTTGTTCGTACGAATCCATTTTCCAATTGACCGGTCCAGTCATGAAGGATTGGCTCGTCATTTCGCGCAGGCCGCTTGTATAGTCGAAGCTTGAGCTTCTCTACTGCGCCAGCCCTACCGGGGCCCACCCTACAGTACAGGATCTGGTAGTTTGCACTTTGGTCAGGCTTTCGGGCTGCTTGTGATCTCGTGGATTTTGAGCCGGCGCTGTCCGCATCTCACCACGAGAGCACAGGCGTCCTGCGTGGGCACAACCCAGACACAGAGCCGTTGCCATGCAGCAGGCCAAGCACAAAAAAATGTTTCCTGAAATGCAGCAAGTGTGCACCTTGTTCCGTTTGCAGGGTTTAGCAGTGCCAGGGTCGATGTTGGGCTTGAGAGCTGGTCCGTAAGTGACTATTTCTTTCTGATGTTTGTCGGACAGGCGCACTTGGGCTGTTTTAGGGCTGAGGGGTTGAGCCGACTGGTGAATGGGGCCGGCTTGCTGGGCCGTGTGGTAACACATTTCTGCAGGACTCCTCGTCGAGCTGCAGAGAAAAGGTCCGAAAAAACAAACAATATACTATAGTAGTTTCCATTTTATTTTCCATTATCCCCATATAACCCCAATATACTATACTAGTTTCCATTTTCTTTTCCATTTTCCCAAACCCCACCTAAGCCCTAGCCAAGGTCATCCTTTGGGTATGCTGCTCTCACAGCTGGCGCCGCCTCCAAGAAGTTGGGATGATCGGGGACTCCAGGCCGCCACAGGGGCCAAATGGGATGTCTAGAGAAAAGGGATAGAGGGTTTAGGGTGTAGGGTT